TCACTCACTCACTCACACACACACACACACACACCACACCACACCACACCACACCACACCACAACACACACACACACACCACACCACACCACACCACACCACACCACAAGAGTTGAATGTGTGTTATTGCTATATGATTCACAATTGCGCCCCAGTAGAAACCTGCTGCTGGACCCCACCCAACACATAAAAAGTGACATACCGAAGGATAAACAGTTCACTCTTGTCATAAACACACTACTGAAATGTTTTGTCTAATCTGGAAAACATGTTGTGAACAGACCTGAGGGTGTTTATTGCCTGCAGAAAGCGCTGCTTTTGTTGCACTACTCAGTTTCCGGGTGCGCGGATGCAGAGGCGCGTCTGACGGGTGTCGGGGAGGACCAAATAACCGAATGTCAAAAACGCGATTCTTCTTCTTCTTCGTCCTCGGTTTTATGGCGGGTAGCACCAGTGTTAAGGTGCATTATCGCCACCTACTGTATTGGAGTGTGAACCAGAGTTTACCCTTTCATAATAAGAGGACAAGGACAAAAACAAAAATGAAAGAAAAGCCAAAAAAATTGTTAAAAAACATTCTTTACCTCATTAAGATTTTTCCCTCTAAATTCTCTTAATCAGCTCTGTTCTCTTAAGAGGCGTTATTGATAACGGTACTGCAGGAATGTATCTTTTATGACTTAAAATCATTTCTCTAGCTTCTTTGTCACTATTCCATGCAAAACACTTCTGTTTAGACCTTTCCTTTTCCCAGCACGGAAGGAGTATCTTTACTGTTGGATGGCGGTCTTCTGAATAACCTTGAAGATTTACCCAGTAGTTCATCATTAACCGCTTTCATCTGATTTGTAACGGCATTTCACTCACTTCAACCGTGCCTTTGCTATCATTTCTGCCTTTTCTTCATCAGATGCTGCTGCGTTTTCCCCCACCTTCATAACAGGATATTTCCATTCTCTTCCTCTGATTCTGATTCCTCTCAAAAACGCGATTGTTTTCTCAAATATGTAAAATAAGGAAGCGTGATGCTAAAAGTTCAAAAAGTAAACAACAAAAATTACCCAGTTATTGTTTTTGTAAACTTATTGCTTATTATGCTCTTTTTATTAGCTTCCCTATATGGACATAATTATGTCTTAACGTTAGATTGGCTCTCTCGGTCTCAGCGATGCTACAACAAAGCTACCTGTAGACAAAAAAAGACATAAAATCTTTAAAATGAGGCAACACCTTTAATATATGATTAATTTCCATACTATACATTATGTGTATTATACATCATACATATTATACATTATATGTATAATTTAATCAGAGCCATATTTTCAAACAATGGCTTTTGAATGAATGACCATTTCAATTAGGGTGACATTAATGTACACTAAAAGCAACTAAAACAGACTGCATAGGCTATATCTCAAATCAAACCCATGGACAGCAGCATTTGAATATTTCAAAATAAAATAAAATGCCTATAATATAAAAAGTTAGGCCTATATAAGTTGTATAATGTAGCCTACCATTTACCATTTCAAGTATATTATGTACTGTAGTTTCTGTCGGTCTAAACTCTGTGTGCAGTAACTCTGTGTGCAGTAACTCTGCCATGTAGTTCCATTCTCTCACAATAATTTAATCAGCACACCAATTAGAATTGTCTTTAATCTCTAATAGTTTTACTCTGTTAACATCTGATATTTCAAGGAGCTCAGCTTTCTGTATGTATTATTGATAGTGAATAAGAGACTGCAGTAATATCTCAGTTACTGATTCATCATTTGGCTTAAAACCACATTATGTACGATTACAAATTACAGTAGACTCTCTGTAATCTATGTCGTTAGATCACAGAGTTTCACTGTTGATCCACCGTGAACCGCGAACCCAGGATAGAGCGGCTGAGTGAATGTGGTCTGGACTCTGTGGATGAGGCTCATTGTGTCAGAGACGCTGTAGAAGGACAGAGTTCCTGCACTGTGATCCACATACACTCCTATTCTGCAGCGACCGGATGGTACAGGAAGATCAGTGTAGCTGTTATTGTGCCAGAATGAGTAAAGTAAGGCAGAGCAGTCCAAACTCCATGACTGATCATTACATCCAAAAACACACTCGTTTCTGCCTCCCTTCCTGCTGACGCTCTTATATGACACTGATATATCCACACCATCATCACCACTCCACTCGAGCTCCCAGTAGCAGCGTCCGCACACACTCTCTCTACATAACACCTGAGGATAATTATCAAATCTGTCTGGATGATCAGGATACTGCTGGACTACGTTAGGGACATTAAACACTCCATTCCAGACGGACAGACGGAGGTGTTCATTCACTGCGTTTGGATCCAGAGTGAACTTACTGTAATCTAAAAGAGATAAAACACAAAATCATTTATTACATTTAAATGAGTTTAGATGTGTGGGCCTCTTAGGGGCCTGCAGCAGTGTAACAATTGCTGTACTGTATATCACATACTGTGCAACAAATATATCATCTTAATATTTGCACTTCACTCTGATCAGTGTGAAAGCCATTAAGTCAGTGGAAAGTCCAGAAGTACCAATGTGTGTGTGTGTGTGTGTTTCCATTGTGTCTTACATTGTAGGAACTCCTCTCTGATCTTGGGTTCATTGGTGGGAATAATTTCAACATATGTTACTAAGAAAATAAACAGACATAATTAGTATTTTTTTTAAACATTCTATGATGACTGAGAGTAAATGTATGTCTGCTGCGTTACCTCTGCCAGATATCTTTTCTATCTCCTCTCGACAGAAATCCTCCAGTTTTTCTTTCAGTTGATAGAGGGACTTTCCCACATCATCAAAAGAGAGGAGAGAGCTGACCGTGATGTTGGGTTCATCTCCAGATTCAGGAGATACAGCGAGAGACTGGAAACTCTGCAGGAAGAGATCGACACAAAAGATAAAGACAGAAAACAAAGACCTTCATGACCTCCACTCAGCTGCACTACAATCACATATTTACTTGCTTGTTTATAGCTGTGCTTTATTTGCAATTGTTGCTTCATTCTGGTATTAATCAGGTCTAGCACTGCTGTTCTAGTAATTTCAAGCATTTCTATTTATTTTATGACCAGGTCTTAGAAATCCATTCTGTTTATAAAGAACAACGATATGACTCTTATGACTCTGGTATAGCACATCTCAACTGAACTATGATTTTATGTATCATTCATGTCTGTAGCATAGGGGTGTCCACTCCTGTTCTTGGAGGGCCACTGTCCTACAGAGTTTAGCTTCAATCCTAATTCAAACCAGCTAATGAAGGTCTTCAGGATTACTAGAAACTTGGGGCCAAATTCTGCTGGACGTTAGCTTTTTAAAGGGAGAGTTCACCCAAAAATGAAAATTACCCCATAATGTACTTACCCTAAAGTCATAGGTGTATATGACTTTCTTATTTCAGACAAATACAATCGGAGTTACATTAAAAAATGACCTGGCTCTTCCAAGCTTTATAATAGCAGTGTGTGGGTAATATTCAGTATAAGCAGTGTATGGGTGAACTTGTTAAAACCACAGTTCTTTTATTTCAGATCTGTTACCTTGAGAAAATAGATGTGATCATTTGTGTGTAAAATCTGCTCCAGTTCAGCGTGTCTCCTTTTCAGATCATCAATCTCCTGCTCCAGTCGATACATGAGTCCTTCAGCTCGACTCACTGCAGCCCTTTCCCGTTCTCTGATCATCTGCATCATCTCAGAGCGGATTCTCTCAATAGAACGGATGAGCTCTATGAAGATCCTCTCACTGTCCTGAACTGCTCTCTCTGCAGAGCACTTTTAGGGCACACATAACAATCAGTTCTTGCTGGTGCCTGTGACCCACAGTCATAAACAGAGTCCAAACAGAGTCTCAAACCTCTGTTCTTCTCTAAACTCACCTTATGAGACTCCACAGCCTCTCTCAGCTCCTCAAGATCTTTCTTTCTTTGCTGGATTCTCTGCTTGAACTTTCTCTGTGTCTCTTTCAAAATGATCTGTATGGAAATTTAGTAAAACTGTAAACTTTAGAAATATTGCATACAACTGTGTTAGAAATGACGGTAATACTTAGTAGGGGACAGATTCTCACAATTAACTAGTTGCTTATTAGCATGCCTATTATTAACATATTTATTAGTACTTATAAAGCACATATTCTGCATGACCATATTCTACATCCCTAATCCTTCCCAATACCTAAACTACCTTACTGACTATTAATAAGCTGCAAATTAAGAGTTTGAGGCAAAATTCGTAGTAATGGTTTGTTAATCGTGGGAATTGGACCTTAAAATAAAGTGTGACCAAAATAAATATATAATTTGCATCCTAGATAGTGTGAAACTGCCATAAAGCTGAACAAATATGAAGAATTAGGATGAAAAAAAAAACTGAATCATGTAAGTATTTCTAAAAATAAGAAATTGATTATGAGTACAGCTCTCAGAATGTTTTGAAGTAATGGGAATGAGATGCTGCATCAGTATCTGACACTATGGGAAGACCCTTCACATGTGATGATTGACTGAACCCTGTATAGTCACGGCAGTTCATTGGCTGATGGCATCACGTGACTAACAGGGATGAGTGTGGTCCGGTGTTGGTCCGTCCGCGACTCTCCGTACCCTCCTGGGACCCAGGGACAGAGAAAACCACTCTCTCGTCAAGATTTTCCAGATTCTCCACCCGGCCCTCCTCCGGGGGAGGGAGTGGTGCGTTCACCATCTCCCAAAGAGCAGATCCCTCCATCTCTGGGTCGCCCGTCTCAGGGCCGATTGCTCTTCCGCTTACCGCCAGGTTTGACGGGGGCCTGGATGGGCGGGGCGGCCTGCCTACGCCCGGCTCCACGGCGCTGCTTGGCTGGAGGTTGCTGCGGATGCGGCGCGGGAGCGGGGGTGGACGCAGGGGGCCACCCTCGGCGACGAGCAGGCTGGGGCGCTGCGGCTGGATGGAGGCAGCAGCTGCCCGCCGGGCCAGGATGTGACGAATCGCCTCAGTCTGCTTCTGTGCAGCCGAGAACTGCTGGGTAAAGCTCTCGACCGTGTTGCCGAAGAGGCCGGTCTGGGACACAGGGGCATTGAGGAACCAAACTTTGTCGGCGTCCCTCATGTCGGCCAGACACAGCCAGAGATGGTGCTCCTGGACCACAAGTGTGGACATCGCATGATTGATGATGTGAGAAAGTCTGTCTCGCAATTCCACGGTTGGACAGAGGGTGCGTGAGTAGGGCCTTTGTTGACACTCTCGAACCGCCCGCTGCTGCCTGCTGGCTACAGAGGAGGATGAGTGTGGTCCGGTGTTGGTCTGTCCGCGACTCTCCGTGCCCTCTCGGGACCCAGAGATAGAGAAAACTGCTCTTTTGTCGCGAATTTGGGTGACATTGACCGTGAGGACAACGCCGGGGCAAAACAAAACAAAAGATTCTCCACCCGGCCCTCCT